CATCAAACAGTGGTAATAAGGTTATCTAATCAACATTATTCGATGGTATGCATTATGAAACCGTGCTTCGAATTACTGCAATGAAAATGAATATCCTATCCACACTATCACTTTTCATGATCCAAAGTTATTGTTTTCAAAAAAACAAAAAAATACGTTTAGTCTCTGAATTGAAATATTCGGGTATCTGTGGAAGTTTTCTTACCTTACATTACTCATTGATTTTTTCGGAGAAATATCATCTATATGCATTACTGACGAATTTATTAAGAAATGAGAAGTTGAATACTTATATTTACCCTTCCTTCGGAGTTATGATGAGCATTGTCAATAAAAGTTCCCTCACAGAAACCCAGATATTTTGATTCAGAATCTCGTTGATCATTTTGTTTTCGAAATAAACCAATTATAGGCCGTGAAAAGTGGGTATGGAGAATACTTTTTTCATTGCAATAATGCAATGCACGGTGTATTCCACAGATCGGTTCACAGCCAGCACTAAAACAAAACTTTGCTACATCACAGAAATTCACCTACAAGACACGGCTCTATTGATTCGGACGATCGAAACCATTGAACAATAATTGAACACGGGCACCCATGACCGAGAACAGCAGTGGAATGAACGCGATCTGTATCTTTGTCAGCCCCAATACTAATGAAACACTAGAGCGAAATGAGCCGAATTACGATTGTCGAATGATTGCCTAATAACCGTCATACATGTGAATTGCTAGAGTTATTCGTCAACGTACAATGCTAGAAACCCAAACAGCTATGATTATTGGGACAAACATTATCTGAATTCACCAATGAGCATAATTCACAAAACGAGCTATGTCAATAAAAAATCTAAATAGACTGGAATTTATAAAATTCTCATAATGTCATAACACACCTGCGTTATGATGGTAGCAAATGTCCATTCAAGGGTATTACAAATGATTTAAGAAATCGATTTTTATAATCACAGAATGGAGAAAGTACTGTTGTAATAATAAAATGATCAGGAATAGGAGATTTCCTTATAATGGTTATTACAATCAGAGCTGGTAGATATTTTTAATATCCAGTTTCTCTCAGTGCAAGGAAGGGTTGATTGGCATACTATAGTCATGATCATGTAAATAGGATTCCTCAACTTCCAATGAATACTTTCTGATTATATGAATATCAGTAGAGTCTAATGGTATGGTTGTCCTATTGGAATGTGTAGTATACAACACATTTGTTGAATCTTGAGCCACACAGTTTCCATTCATGTTCTTGATGTCATGATGTAATAACAGTCTTTTATAACTGCGGCAAAACTGTAAAGCTGAAGGATTATTATTCCAACCATTTCTGGACCTGTAGATGGGAAATATATTGGTTAACAGAGAAATATAATGGTTAACAGAGAAATATAATATGATAATAAAGATCCAGATAAAGATTGACCAAGTTCTGTAGGCCAGTCATAATATTAATAATAATTATCATTATTATTATTATGACTGGCCTACAAACTTGGTCAATCTTTATAATTCAATTCAATTCAATTCAATTTTATTCATTGAGTAAAAATACACATGTTCATGGAACGAAATTAATTATAAATATAATTCAAATCCAATCTTCTTCACATAGGTTAGCTACCTGTGTGTGAAAAAGATTAAGTATTTCATGTAAAAAAAAACATCTTGGTTTCTTTATAATCTAAATATGTAAATATTTAAATCGAATTTAAATAATTGAATAAAATAATAAAGTTTAAAAAGAGAAAATAAATGAAAAAAGAAAACAAATAAAAAGTTTTGAACACATTTAAAATCATTGAAATTATTGAAAAAATATTTTAAATAATTAAAAAATGTTAAAAAAGATCATCAATTTTGTTTGCATTTCCCATAATCCATATTTTAATTTTATTTTTGAATGTTTTTATATTCAAACATCTCAAACTCATTGGAATTTTATTAATAATAATTAGTATTATTATAACAATAATACCAATGTTTGGTAAAAGTCCAAAATGCTCATAATAATAATGATAATAATGATAATAATGATAATAATGATAATAATGATAATAATGATAATAATGATAATAATGATAATAATGATAATAATGATAATAATGATAATAATGATAATAATGATAATAATGATAATAATGATAATAATGATAATAATGATAATAATGATAATAATGATAATAATGATAATAATGATAATAATGATAATAATGATAATAATGATAATAATGATAATAATGATAATAATGATAATAATGATAATAATGATAATAATGATAATAATGATAATAATGATAATAATGATAATAATGATAATAATGATAATAATGATAATAATGATAATAATGATAATAATGATAATAATGATAATAATGATAATAATGATAATAATGATAATAATAATACCTAATACTGCAGTAGAATAATTCCAAATGATCCTGGCTCAGTTTATATGTGAGCAAATATTTCAACTTGGCATCAGCAGATTTGATGTGGGCTTCATATATTCCAATAATTGATTTGATTGTCAATATAAATCCGAGAAATTGTGTTTTCTTAGTAGTTGATACAAGTGGTTTACCCTGTAGATCTTTGCAATTCAAGAAATAATGAATTGCATCTTCAAAGACTGGCAACCACAAATCCTCATTCTGGATTCGAATAGGCATTTTCATCCTTACTGTCATGGGAGTCCTTGAATTACAAAGATCAAAAACTTTATCCACAAGTCGAATGAATCTTATTGTGGCAGCAGCATCTGCAAATCTTTGATCTTTGATATCAACCATGAGGAATTCTATAGCACTAGCCACACTATCACTCAGAGTCTGAACTGCCAAATTAACCTGAAAACAAAGAGAAACTAATGAATATTTTTTTCCTGAAGATTTTGAGAAGCCAGTTTGAAATGTGGCAATAATAAATGAAGATATTATTTTGAAAGTCGTATTGAATAAGGGTAGGGACCTTCATCTTCTGTTTCTCCCATTCCATATGAGCTTTTTTAAGCTTTGTTCCAAGACGAAGCCCTTCTTGTTCTTGAAGCTGGTGTAACAGAGTTATATACTTGAAGTCTACAATACCACCATCAGGGTCCACAAATTTATTCAATACTGCCCAATTATTTCTGATTAATTTCATCATGTGACAGGCATCAAAAACTATGAATATTTTCGTTGCATCAACAGGGTGCAGAAAATATGGTTGAATGTTATTCAAATCTTTGAATTTTGCACCAAGTTCACTCATTATCGTGAAGTTTGCACTTGGTCCATCAGATGTTAGTGATGTAACAATTACATCACATTCATGTACCATCTTCAGTGCTTCACGTACGATATTGGCCTTCTCTGCCCCATTCAATGATTTGGCCAGAAAAAATGCAATTGGTAACTTCCACTGTAGAGTTTATTAAAAAACCATCGCCAACATTCACAGAATATCTACTAAGCCAGAAACGAAGTTCAACTAGAATACTAGTGGGACTTCTCACAGGGCATTGTAGGCTCAACAAACACATGAGTACGATAGGTCTGACTGAAGAACTGCTGTGCAGGTTCTGTCAGGAAGAGGAGGAAACAGCAGTACACATACTTTGCCACTGTGAGGGCTTGTCAAGACTAAGGTTCCTTACGCTGGGTGAGGAAAAACCAGAAGCCCAGAGATACACAGGGGATCTGAAAGCTAGCCTATGGAGTCTCATAGAGAAGACGGGGCTAGCCGAAGAACTCTAATCGATTTTGAGGGCAGACACAATAGATCTGAAAAGGTCGCGGTGTGGAGGCAGATAGCCCGAAGGCCCCATTCTAAATCTAATCTAACTTCCACTGTCCATTAAGGGCAACCAGCATCAAAACCAGAACTTCAGAGGCCTGATCTGTGAGGTCATCAAATTTCAAGTTGGACCCAATATCAACATAACCCCAAGATCTTTCACCTACAAAATCAACATGCTTTTTTATGCTCATTTCATCCAGCATCAAACTGCATAGTGTGGAGTAGCCTTTGTTTTTGTTCTCTAATACTTTCTCTTTCAGAGAGTCGAAGGCAGGCTGAGAAAATCCTGGTTCACAAGAAATGTTACTCAACCAACTTCTTATGACTCTTTGGCTAGGTAATGATAAATTGAAAGTTTTTCTCACATATTCATAAGCTTTACTGGAATAGAATTGCAATGTCATTGCAAAACTTCTCAGTGTTGCATCATATTTTTATCTTCCAACTTTTCCCCTCCTAGAATTTGTGAGCATTCTTTTCATCAATGCTAGAGACACTCCAGAAAAAGATTTCTCAAGTATAGAACATGCACCAGGACTCAACAAATCTTTTCTTTTGATATCTTGAACAACATCATTCAAATGACCAACCTTCTTCCTGAGCCTTTTGATCTTCTGTTTTTCAACTTTATGTTGATATGTTAGGAGCTTGATTCTAGAATTTTGTGTCTTCAGTTTATCACTAACTCAATTGTAGTGCTGTCATAAAAATCACATTAAATGTATTAAATATTATGAAATGTCCATGGACTTGTTGGACTGTTGAATTGTTTTTTTCAATTAATCTAAAGAACACTAAGTAATCATAAGGAAATGTACACACCTGTATGTATGAATTTTTTTAATTAGCCTCCTATTTCTTTTAGGAGTATGCTTCAGTCCAGCACTATCAGTTGAACTGGAAAGCCTGAAAAAAAAATGCATTCACTAGTATTTTCTAAAACAATGTTACACATGGTAAGAGGCAAACACAAAACCAAACAGGAGTTAAGTATATGGACTTCTACACTATTGTTACACATTTTTTAATAATAGGTATCAACTTATCTACCTATAGATTACTTTTTCATGATATTTCATATCCAAAGGAAACATAAATACAAGCTTGAATTAAATAATCAGCTTCAATATATTGAGGTGGAAGGCAGTTATAGTCGAGGTTATAGTAGGTATTTCAGGAAGTATTTTGGTGAAAAATTATTGAATATTATAAGTTATATACATACTGTTCTTTCATGTGCTTTGGGATATGAACAACTTCTGCTTCATAATTATTACTAGGTTGTTTATTCATGGATGTGGAAGGTTGTTCTTGTTCCAACATATCATGGTGTTTCCTATAAAAAATACTCCATCAGAATGTTTCATTTTGTAGTGCTTGAGTTAACAGCAGTATCATCATTTCCAAAAGTTAATTTGCATGCTATGATAAAATAAATCTGTTTTATAACAACTAGTAGGTATGAAAACAAATCAGGGAATCTGGAGATTTTAATCAAAGTAATCACATACCTTGCAACTTTTTTTTTCGGGGGTTCAGAAGAAAGAATGTCAGTTGATTTCCTTTTGATTATGAAATGTTTGGGCACAGCTTTTGGTTTGAGCCTTACTCTGCCATGTTCACTATCAGGAAACACAACATCTGATGCATCAAAATGTTTAGGTATTCCCAAAGCTTCAAGCCATAGTTCCTTCCTGGAACCAAAGCTAAAACAACAAAATAAATTAAAGCATGTTTTGGTTTGAAAATTTTCCAAGCCGGGTCTGTTTAGTAACCTAAAAAAAGGATTACTTACCGAAAATAGTAAATATTTGGGAGTTTACCACTGCTTTGGCAAGACCAAATGAAACATCTTTCAGGCATGATGATAAGACTTCAAAAACGTAGTAAAAAATCTAGGGTGAAAAGGAAAAAACTGAGAAATTGTAATTAAACAACAAATAAACAATGTCATTGACAAATAACATTTACTAATGCATGCTAATGCGTAAACTCATTAAGGGGCTATCAGCACCATTTTTGTTGTCCTTGTAGGAACAGAATCATAACACTGTTTTTCCCTTCTCCTCTGTGTTTAAGTTCTGTGTACCTACCTCAAATATTTTCATCCCCATATAGGAGGTGTAGCACTGAAGGTACAATCATATTATATTGAATCATGGATGGTGGCAAAAGACAAGTATCCCCTAAAGGGGAAAGAAAAAGTACAATTAGTAAATATTATAAAAGAGCACGAAAGCTTGATAGAAGAGATGTATTAGATCATTGTAGTAGTAGTAGTGCTTCGAGTAGCACATTACAGGGGGCAAGCTCTGTGGAAAGTGATGTCTGTCAAATAACATCACCTTCTGCTACAAGTATCAGTAGAGATGACAATCAGTTGACATTACCTTCAACAAGTAGAATGTCTAACACAGATGCTGACCAATCTGTTGATGATGAATGTATTTCGAGTTCTGGAGAGTTTTCTGATGATTATTTTATTGAAGAATTAAGTCATACACCTGTAGAGGACCTCATTCAAAAAAGTCCTTTAGTAAATATCAATGAAAATTCAAATAATGACTCTGTAAACATACAATCTAAGTTAAGTGAATGGGCTTTGAACCATAACATAACACATTTGGCAGTAAAAGATTTGTTACAAATATTGAAACATTCATTCCCTAGTTTACCCACAACTGCCAGAACTCTTTTGCACACTCCTAGACAATTAACTATTCATAAGGTTGAACCAGGAAAATATTTTCATTTTGGATTCAGAGAATGTCTGATAAAATTATTGAGCCGCTATGAAGGCAACTTCCTGAATTCTAAAATAGGAGTTTTCATCAACATCGATGGACTGCCATTATCAAAGAGTTCTGGTAGTCAGCTATACCCAATTTTATGTAAACTATCAGTCAATAATATTGTTGGAGTGATAGGTATATATCATGGTTATGAAAAGCCTAAAGAAGCTAATGACTTCTTGAAAATGTTTGTTGAAGATGCTCTGGTAATAATCAATGATGGAATTGTTTTCGAGGAAACTGTATATCAGGTTGAAATTAGGGGTTTTGTTTGTGATGTTCCTGCTAAATCTTTTATTAAATACACTGTAGGCCACACTGGATATATGTCCTGTTCAAAGTGTCAGATAGAAGGTAATTTCAAAAAAAGATCTGTTTTCCTCAAATCAATAATTTAATTCCAAGAACTGATAGAGAATTCAGATTGAAGGTGCAAGAAGAACATCACAAAGGCACTTCAATTTTGGAATCATTGCCAAAACTTGATATGATCAAACAATTTCCTCTGGACTATATGCATTTGGTGTGTTTAGGGGTATTGAAAAAACTAATTGTCAATTTATGGATTCATGGGAAACCGCCAGGTAGACTCTCATTTTTTCAAATTAATTCAATATCAGAATCTCTTCTTGCCCAAGTGAAGAATATTCCTAATGAATTCAATCGCAAACTTCGTTCTTTACAGGAATCAAAGAGATGGAAGGCAACTGAATTCAGGATGTTTTTATTATACATTGGTCCATCAGTTGTATTGAAAAATAATATTCATGAATATAAATACAAACATTTCATTTCTCTACATTTCTCTATGTCTCTACTGTCTGTTTTGAACAATCCAGATGATATTCAATATTCCAGAATCCTCTTGAAGTATTTTGTCAAATCATTTATTATTCTATATGGTTCTGAAAATGTTTCCCATAATGTACATAATTTACTCCATATTTGTGATGATGTAGACTATTTCGGCCCCCTGGACTCATTCAGTGCATTTCCTTTTGAAAATCACATGCAATATTTCAAAAAATTTGTAAGGAAAGGAGAAAAGCCACTGGAACAAATAGTCAACCGAATAAATGAGCAAGAAAAATCAAATATCAATGATCATAAAATGAAAAAAATTCCTCTGCTGTCAGAAGAACACTTCAGTGGTCCTACACTTGGTTTACTGGTTAAAAAAACAGTATAAAAAAATGTATTGTCAAAACTATCTGTTATCCATATCAGAACCTGATAACTGTTGTTCAGTTGAAGGAGAACTAATATTGATTAAAAATATAATGATAGACAAGGAAGATAGAATAATAATTATTGGGCAGAAATTCCTTAAACAGAGTGACTTCTATAGGACTCCAAGTTCAGCTGACATAGGCATTTATTTGGTAACCAATTTGAGCACACTGCTTTCATATGATGCAGAAAAAATTTCTTATAAATGCTTGAAACTAGATTTTGGTGATGAAAACGTTATTTTTCCTTTATTACATCTAAAGTGATTCTCCTTCATTATAAAGAAACTATAATTATGACATTCATTTTACTTGATTATTTGGGATTTACTCTCCTCGTTTCTATGAAATGAAAATATGAGTATTATTTCAATATATGTGTAGTAGGACAAATCAGATCGATGATTTACCTCATAATATCACTGCGTTTTAACAATTTTTTTTATCAGGAAGCCTAAAAGAAAAATCCAATAGCTTGTCAGTGACACTTTGTTTAGAAAAATATTTGATTGAAATATCGCATTTTCATATTTTTTTACGTTTCTGGAACGAATCTGCTCTTGTTTCAAACATGAAAATGCAAAAATATTTTTCTTTGAAAGATGAAAACAAGCAGATTCGTTTCCGGAACGTCCAAAGATAAGTAAAAATTCGATATTTTTTCTATATCTATATTTCTTTTCTTCAAACATTTTTCAAAACATAGTGTCACAGACAAGCTATTGGATTTTCTTTTTTAGGCTTCCTGATAGAAAAATTGGTTAAACACAGTGACATTTTAGGGCAAATCGTCTGAGATACCCTACTACACATATTTTATTGAAATAATACTCATATTTATTTTATACAAACGAGGAGAGAAAATCCTGAATAATCAAGTGAAATGAAAGTACCACCTCTTTCATTAACCTTCAGACAGTATTTATAATATGGCCTGTTTGTTACCTGTGAAGTTACTTCAGCACAACATATAATAGGCTGAAAAAATTTCTTCAACTCCAAATTAAATATTGTTTTGTATTTTGATTTAACCATTGTAAATATATATTGTCTGTCCTTTGTAGAAAAAAATATTTGTATATGTATCTAGCTAAAATTGGTCCTATTTGATTTAGAGAATACACATATTTCATTTCAGTCTGAATAATATGTCAGCATTTTTTAATTGTTAGAAAATTTTAATGCATTGTTAAAAAAAAATCAAATTTCATTCTCCTAAAGAAACTACTAAGAGCTGAGTGTTTATTATGTATTTTTGACCTTGCTTTTTTTCAAGAATCCATAGTTTCCATCATTCAGGATGGAAAAAACTTGGACTGTACTCACATTCATTGGTGAAGATTCTGTGGAGGCGGTACCAACAACTTGGATATTTGGTTATAGATGTTACTGGCCGCCGTTCACCCAACAAAAAATACTGATATCCATCAAAAACCATGAGACTCCAAATACTTGCTGGCCTACTCATGAAATTTCTATTTTTAAAAATGGAACATTTGGTGAGATTAATTTATTATCAATACTGGTTTAATACTAAAAGATGTTATATTTTCAGATAACTACTTGGAGGCTCGTCAGAAATGCAGAATTGCCGAGTGCCAAAGTGATTTGGTCAGTGACGAGGACAACTTGAAGAATAGGAAAGTCCGAAATAGGAAAGCTATTTTGTCATCAAGTTCAGAAGAAGAACACCTAATAGATCCTCCTCCTCTGCGGAAACACACATCGATGCCTTCCAGTGAGTCCATGTTGACCTTTTTCACACATATTTGAAATCAATGGAATTTTTTAATTGTATTGGTGATGTATTTTATCAATGTGAATGCATCCAAATTGAGGAAACTCTATAGCTCCAATTCAATGTGCACCACAATTCAAATAAAAAAGTTACTTGGATTTTAATTCAAGTGATAAATTATAAGAAAAATTATTATTTTTCCAGAAACTATTGAAAAGAAGAAAGATGTAGGACAGTCCTCTAATAGTTTATCATCAACTTCTTCTGATGGTGAGTATTATTTTTAAAGAGTCATTTTTTTTCTACCTTGACGAAAGTTGTATTTGCATTAATTGTGTGAATTGTTTAAATGTTCAGCAGAAATGGCACCACATATTTGATTTTGATGTGATTTTGAAATTGTACTTTTTTTAGATATAATTATGAAGAAACTTGTAGAAGATTTCAACAGTTTTTGTGTTCAAAACACAAGAAAGTTGAATGTTCTGACCAGTATGGCAACAGATTTAATAGCTCAAATGAAATCATTGAAGACAATGGTGATAGCAATGAATGCTTCAAGCCAATTAAATCCTTCGGGCACTCAGAGTATATTTCAAAAACTGAAATTGCCGGCCACAAACATGGAAGAAATAAGTGAAATCGAGGAATATTTCTAGAAGAAAATTTTAACACAGTGGTAAGCGATTATTTCTCTCACAGGAAAAAAAAAAGGAAAACTTTCATCGATAGCATTAATTAATGTCAATTCAGAAGTTAGTTGTTACCCATAGAATGATACTCTGGGTTTTGGAAAGTTATACATATAGTCCTTAGATGTCATTTCCACTTCAGGACACTTCAGGAGAATAATTAGTTTCATCAAGAAGAGTAGCTCCTTTTTTTGAAACCTTATATATGTTCAATAATGTTGCTTGTTGAATGCTTAAGTTTGTTAATAATATATATAATTCCATTTTAGGTTCGAGAAGTATCAAAAGTTGGGGGAAATTCGCCTTTTGAATATGTCAAAAGGGTTATGCTACAAATTATGAACTATAACACGGCAACTTTCTATACATGGCATGGAAAAAATGGGAAACTTGCATTCAAAGATACTAGAAT